CACGGATTCCAAGGAACAGAACCTTGGGCCATGTGGTGAGTGTTATAGCTCTATTAGAAGCTGTGGGTCATGGAAGAGAACCGTGGAACCCAGTGACTAGTGTTCAGCTCGATTAGGACAAACCCGGGCACTTAGTCATGCAGGAACAATGGCGAGCCTTTAGCCTGATCCGGAGCGGCAATGGGCGCCTTGCTGTATCAGAAACGCAGCGGTAGACGGTGAGTGAAAGCTCGGCTCGAGCCGTAACAAACACAGACCAGAAGAGTGTGCAGTTGCAAGATTTAATAGAGTGAAAACAGAGCTCCCATACAATGGGAGGGGACCCAAAGGAGGTTGCCCCTCCCGGCTGGAATGCCTGTTTATATTGTCCCTCCCCCTGTGCTCTCAGGTGATATATGATTTGACTATTTCTTTACCTCCTGCTTTTAGCCTAATTTGTATTTTAGTGAGCCCTCTTTACTACCTGATTGGTCAGGTGTGAGCTGAGTTATAAGCCCCAAGTTTAAAGGTAGGTGCGGTCACCTTCCCCAGCTAGGCTTAGGAATTCTTAGTCAGCCTAGGAAATCCAGCTAGTCCTGTCTCTCAAAACTGGGTTCTTGTTGAGAGGACAGCGATAACCCCACTCACATGCACCGAGATTAGCAGGTCTAGGTTCCTCCAACCCTATATGGGCCTAGTGACTGGTGGCCAGATTACGAAACAAAAAGCATTTCTGATTGTTTTGCATGTGAAGAAAACAAAGTTTTATTGAGTTAGGTCTTTGCATTCAGTTCTCTGTCTCTTCACATTCTTTTCTTTTTCTTTTTTTTTTTTTTTGAGACAGGGTCTGGCTCTGTAGCCCAGGCTGGAGTGCAGTGGTAACACGATCATAGCTCACTGCAACCCTAGCCTCCCAGTAGCTGGGTCTATGGGCGCATGCCACCAAACCTGGCTAATTTTTTTCTATTTTTTGTAGAGACCAGGGCTTCAATATGTTGCCCAGGCTAGTCTCAAACTCCTGGGCTCAAGCAATCTGCCTGCCTCGGCCTCCCAAAGTATTGGGATTAGAGGCTCAAGCCACTGCTCCCAGCCATCTCTTCACATTCTAAAATAACTTTGTAGGGAATGTTCCAAAGGGCCCTCCACAAGAAAAATCAAGTGTGTGTCTTCTGCGACTTAAGCTTGTGTGCCTTTTCAGCTGCTCATTTGCAAACATTGTGTGTTTAGCTTAGCTTAGCTCTTTGGGGCATAGGTATAATAGTATGGCTTATTGGTTTCTCCAGATAGAAAAACTTTCAGCATCTGAACCAGCAGACTCTGTGGAGAAGAAAGGTTTCTCAAGGTATCAGCCAGTTCCAAAGGGAGGTGGATTAGATGTTGAGAGGTTAATTGGCTATGGTCAAGGAAGATGTTTGCATCTGAGCAAATAGCTTTGGGGCAGAGATGATTTTATTTTTCATTTATTTATTTTTTGAGATGGGGTCTCGCCGTGGTGCACAGGTTGGAGTACAGTGGTGCGATCTTGGCTCACTGCAACCTCCGCCTCCCAGGTTCATGTGATTCTCATGTCTCAGCCTCCCGAGTAGCTGGGATTACAGGCACCCACCACCACACCCAGCTAATTTTTTTGTATTTTTTTAGAGACGGGGTTTCACCATGTTGGCCTGGCTGGTCCCGAATTCCTGACTTCAGGTGATCCACCTGCCTCAGCCTCCCAAAGTGCTGGGATTACAGGCATAAGCGACCATGCCCAGCCACAGAGATGATTTTAAATGGCCACTTGGGCAGGGCTTCTTATGGAGAAGACCTTTAGGTGGGGTTATGACCCAGGGAGTTAGCAACTAGGCAGTTTTGCCAGTGAAAGGGTAGCTTTCCAGATAACAGGACTTTGTAGCCCAAGTTTAATTGTTGTATCCCCTTCTTCCAGGAGTTGTTTGTATAATATATATATATATATTTTAAATGGGTCTTGCTCTGTCACCCAGGCTGGGGTGCAGTGGTGCGATCATGGCTTACTGCAGCCTAGACATCCCATGCTGAAGCGAACCTCTTGCCTCAGCCTCCTGAATAGCTGGACTGACTACAGGCATGTGCCACTGATAGGGTTTGGCTGTGACCCCACCCATAATCTCATCTTGAATTGTAATCCAGATTGTAATCCTCATGTGTAGGGGGAGAGACCTCCTGGGAGGTGATTAGATGTCCTTTTAAACAATCCTTAAAGAGAATCATGCTCTAGTCATATAATTTCAGGTAAAACCATTTAAACATACAAATTTTTGTTTTTATTGTCCCTTCCTATGGAATTAAAAACCGACATTTCCCCCCATACTCTAGCACTATTCTTCTTGTTCTCTTGGTTGAGGGGTATGGTTCTTTGTCCTGAACTGGTTACTCCTCCATGTCCTCCTGGCTTCCAAGCAGGCCTAGCTTCTCCCTGCCTATGTTCAAGGAAAACAGGGGAGCAATTCTGGAAAAATATTTGAGCCCATGAAGTGTTAGCTAAGTTATCCAGATCATTAGGGATCCTGTGTGCTATAGATGGATAAATCATTACATTAGCAATAAAAAGGACATGTTTTCCCTCCAAGCACTGAAAAATGGAAGTGATTAGAAGCTAAGTGGCTAAACCAAACTGCATTGTAAAAAGCATTCTAGTCTTGCAAATAATCAGATATCCAGGGCAGTGCTATAAAAAGCATTTATTCCCACCCCCCACCCCCCCGATTCCATTGTAGGGAAAGAATACCATCCTAGGTCCAACTTGATTGGTGGAATAGACTGAGGGGAAAGGAATAGCTGAGATGCAGTTGTTAGACAGACCTGCTAACTAGGGTGGACCAGGGACTGGGGAAGGCAGCTTGGCTCACAGCAGCGGTTTAACCCAGCCAGAAAGCAGTGATGTCCAAGGAATACTGTAAACTCTGGTTGTGGTTCAGGCAGAGGTTGACAAATGGGGGTTCCAGAGGGTGGGTAGAGCACAGCAATAAGTATTTTAGGCTGGTGCTAAGAAGTCTAGGCACACAGTTGCCATTTAAAAGGCTGGTGTGTGTGATTAGGGGGGACTCTGGCCCAGAGCTAGGGATCAGGGGCAGCACTTTAGTCTCTGGGGAAGACGCCTGGCTAGAGTTACACAGAACCCCAGGTTTCATAGGGGTTTCAGGATACTGGGTAGGTTACCAGTTCAGGAACTTGGAAATAGTCTAATAATTTAAAACTGTTATTTTTTCCTTCAAGCTCTAGAACATAGATCAAGACTGCTTTCCAAAGCAGCTCTGAATAATTAATAATTCCCACCAATAGTGGGAGTTTTTCACACCTTGCCAACACTTATGTTTTCCCACTTGTTGGTTATAGCCATCCTAATGGGAAGTGGTATCTCCTTGTGGTTTTGGTTTGCCTTTCCCTGACAACCAATGATGTTGAGAGTCTTTTCATGTGCTTATTGCCCATCTGTATATCTTTTTTTCCTTTTATTTATTTATTTTTTAAGAGACACAGTTTCTCTATGTTGTTCAAGCTAGTCTTAAACTCCTGACCCCAAGCAATCCTCCTGCCTTGGCCTCCCCAAAGTGCTGGGATCACAGTCATGAGCCACCACACCCAGTCCTGTATATATTTTTTCCCCCTCTGGTTGCTTGTGTGTTTGGCATCATATTTAAGATACTGCCAAATCCAAGTCATGAAGATTTTTACACCTATATTTTTTCCTAAATTTTGTAGGTTTAGCCCTTAGATTTAGGTCTTTGATCCATTTTGAGTTAATTTTTGTATACGGTATGAGTAGGGGTCCAATTTCATTCTTTTGCACATGGATATCCAGTTGAAAAGAGTTCTTTCCCCAGTGAATTATTTTGGCGCACTTACTGAAAGTAATTGACCATAAACCACTGAAGAACTTTAAGCAGAGGAGTGACATGATTTATTTTATGCTTTAAGACAGTATTGCTGGCTGCTATATACAGAGTGTATTGGAGGGGCAAGAGTTTATGTAGGGAGAGCAGTGAGTAGGAAGCTGCAATTATCCAGGCCAGAGATGATGGTGACTTGGGCCACAGTAATGGTAGTAGAGATGGAAAGAAGGTGGTTATAACTTGGGAAATAAAGTTAGTAGGACTTGGGACTGCCTGGCCTGGGGGTGGGGCATAAAAAGAAAGGAAAGGACAAGGATGACTCCTCTTTAGGTTGGGGTCAAGGATTCTCTTCAGATTTGAAGTTTGGATGGCTAAATAGATGGTAGTGTTATTTACTAGCACACAAATGGAGAAGCACGTTTTTAGAGGACAAATAATGAGTTTAGTTTGGGATGAATTAAATTTGATTTCAAGTGGAGATGTCCAGAAGGCAGCTGGAATATGGGTCTAGAGTAGAGCTTGAGGGACAGCTCTGGGTTGGAGAGAGTGATTTGGGAGTCATGAGCACATAGGTGGGAGTGGAAGCTCTGGGAAAACTTGAGGAGAGACTAAAAAGAGTGAGAAGAGGTCCTAGGACTGAGTCCTCTGGGAGGAAGAACACAGAAGAAATGGTCAGTGAAGAGGAGGAAAACCAGAAGGAATCTATAGGAATCTGAAAGGAGGGAATTTTAAGAGGGGAAGGGAGTGATCAATAGTGTCAAATGCATCACGGAGCTCCAGGAAAATAAGGCCAGAGAAGTTCCCATGTTTCCATGCCCCTACACATAGAGGTTTTACAAAAAATATCACTTCATACTTCTTATGGGTGCCAACTTAAAAAAAAAAATACTGTGGAACCAATAATCTTTGCACATTCATTTTCCACAACTAGTGCCTGAAGGTGTTGCTGGCAGCATCTGGTGGATGTTTGTTTGTGTCTCAAGTGATGCCAGCTTTCATTGGCATCTTCTGTGCTAATCTTTCCCATCCTGAATTGAGGATATTAAAAGTCCAGCTGCAGTTTGGATTCTAAAATGAACTCTAAAGCATTCTTAGACTGAATGTTCAATGTTTCCTTTCTCTTCTCTTTTTTTTTTTTTTTTTTTTTTTTTTTTACCTTTTTTATAGATATGTGAAAGAGGCCAAAGAAGCAACTAAGAATGGAGATCTGGAAGAAGCATTTAAACTTTTCAATTTGGCAAAGGACATTTTTCCCAATGAAAAGGTGCTGAGCAGAATCCAAAAAATACAGGAAGCCTTGGAGGAGTTGGCAGAACAGGGAGATGATGAATTTACAGATGTGTGCAACTCTGGCCTGCTGCTTTATCGAGAACTGCACGACCAACTCTTTGAGCACCAGAAGGAAGGCATAGCTTTCCTCTATAGGCTGTATAGGGATGGAAGAAAAGGTGGTATATTGGCTGATGATATGGGATTAGGGAAGACTGTTCAAATCATTGCTTTCCTTTCTGGTATGTTTGATGCTTCACTTGTGAATCATGTGCTGCTGATCATGCCAACCAATCTTATTAACACATGGGTAAAAGAATTCATCAAGTGGACTCCAGGAATGAGAGTCAAAACCTTTCATGGTCCTAGCAAGGATGAACGGACCAGAAACCTCAATCGGATTCAGCAAAGGAATGGTGTCATTATCACTACTTATCAAATGTTAATCAATAACTGGCAGCAACTTTCAAGCTTTAGGGGCCAAGAGTTTGTGTGGGACTATGTCATCCTTGATGAAGCACATAAAATAAAAACGTCATCTACTAAGTCAGCAATATGTGCTCGTGCTATTCCTGCAAGTAATCGCCTCCTCCTCACAGGAACCCCAATCCAGAATAATTTACAAGAACTATGGTCCCTATTTGATTTTGCTTGTCAAGGGTCCCTGCTGGGAACATTAAAAACTTTTAAAATGGAGTATGAAAATCCTATTACTAGAGCCAGAGAGAAAGATGCTACCCCAGGAGAAAAAGCCTTGGGATTTAAAATATCTGAAAACTTAATGGCAATCATAAAACCCTATTTTCTCAGGAGGACTAAAGAAGACGTACAGAAGAAAAAGTCAAGCAACCCAGAGGTCAGACTTAATGAAAAGAATCCAGATGTTGATGCCATTTGTGAAATGCCTTCCCTTTCCAGGAAAAATGATTTAATTATTTGGATACGACTTGTGCCTTTACAAGAAGAAATATACAGGAAATTTGTGTCTTTAGATCATATCAAGGAGTTGCTAATGGAGACGCGCTCACCTTTGGCTGAGCTAGGTGTCTTAAAGAAGCTGTGTGATCATCCTAGGCTGCTGTCTGCACGGGCTTGCTGTTTGCTAAATCTTGGGACATTCTCTGCTCAAGATGGAAATGAGGGGGAAGATTCCCCAGATGTGGACCATATTGATCAAATAACTGATAACACATTGATGGAAGAATCTGGAAAAATGATATTCCTAATGGACTTACTTAAGAGGCTGCGAGATGAGGGACATCAAACTCTGGTGTTTTCTCAATCAAGGCAAATTCTAAACATCATCGAACGCCTCTTAAAGAATAGGCACTTTAAGACATTGCGAATTGATGGGACGATTACTCATCTTTTGGAACGAGAAAAAAGAATTAACTTATTCCAGCAAAATAAAGATTACTCTGTTTTTCTGCTTACCACTCAAGTAGGTGGTGTCGGTTTAACATTAACTGCAGCAACTAGAGTGGTCATTTTTGACCCTAGCTGGAATCCTGCAACTGATGCTCAAGCTGTGGATAGAGTTTACCGAATTGGACAAAAACAGAATGTTGTGGTTTATAGGCTAATCACTTGTGGGACTGTAGAGGAAAAAATATACAGAAGACAGGTTTTCAAGGACTCATTAATAAGACAAACTACTGGTGAAAAAAAGAACCCTTTCCGATATTTTAGTAAGCAAGAATTAAGAGAGCTCTTTACAATCGAGGATCTTCAGAACTCTGTAACCCAGCTGCAGCTTCAGTCTTTGCATGCTGCTCAGAGGAAATCTGATACAAAACTAGATGAACACATTGCCTACCTGCAGTCTTTGGGGATAGCCGGAATCTCAGACCATGATTTGATGTACACATGTGATCTATCTATTAAAGAAGAACTTGATGTGGTAGAAGAATCTCACTATATTCAACAAAGGGTTCAGAAAGCGCAATTCCTTGTTGAATTTGAGTCTCAAAATAAAGAGCTCCTGATGGAACAACAAAGAAATAGAAATGAGGGGGCCTGGCTAAGAGAACCTGTATTTCCTTCTTCAACAAAGAAGAAATGCCCTAAATTGAATAAACCACAGCCTCAGCCTTCACCTCTTATAAGTACTCGTCATACTCAGGAAGAAGATATCAGTTCCAAAATGGCAAGTGTAGTCATTGATGATCTGCCCGAAGAGGGTGAGAAACAAGATCTCTCCAGTATAAAGGTTAATGTTACCACCTTGCAAGATGGTAGGCACCCATATGAAGGTACATGTAGTGCTGACTCTATAGCTACTTTACCCAAGGGGTTTGGAAGTGTAGAAGAACTTTGTACTAACTCTTCATTGGGAATGGAAAAAAGCTTTGCAACTAAAAATGAAGCTGTACAAAAAGAGACATTACAAGAGGGACCTAAGCAAGAGGCACTGCAAGAGGATCCTCTGGAAAGTTTTAATTATGTACTTAGCAAATCAACCAAAGCTGATCTTGGGCCAAATTTAGATCAACTAAAGGATGATGAGATTTTACATCATTGCAATCCTTGGCCCATTAGTTCCATAACAAATGAAAGTCAAAATGCAGAATCAAATGTATCCATTATTGAAATAGCTGATGACCTTTCAGCATCCCATAGTGCACTGCAGGATGCTCAAGCAAGTGAGGCCAAGTTGGAAGAGGAACGTTTAGCATCTTCACCACAGTATGCATGTGATTTCAATCTTTTCTTGGAAGACTCAGCAGACAACAGACAAAATTTTTCCGGTCAGTCTTTAGAACATGTTGAGAAAGAAAATAGCTTGTGTGGCTCTGCACCTAATTCCAGAGCAGGGTTTGTGCATAGCAAAACATGTCTCAGTTGGGAGTTTTCTGAGAAAGATGATGAACCAGAAGAAGTAGTAGTTAAAGCAAAAATCAGAAGTAAAGCTAGAAGGATTGTTTCAGATGGCGAAGATGAAGATGATTCTTTTAAAGATACCTCAAGCACAAATCCATTCAACACATCTCTCTTTCAATTCTCATCTGTGAAACAATTTGATGCTTCAACTCCCAAAAATGACATCAGTCCACCGGGAAGGTTCTTTTCATCTCAAATACCCAGTAGTGTAAATAAGTCTATGAACTCTAGAAGATCTCTGGCTTCTAGGAGGTCTCTTATTAATATGGTTTTAGACCACGTGGAGGACATGGAGGAAAGACTTGACGACAGCAGTGAAGCAAAGGGTGCTGAAGATTATCCAGAAGAAGGGGCAGAGGAAAGCAGTGGCGAAGCCTCCAAGTATACAGAAGAGGATCCTTCAGGAGAAACACTGTCTTCAGAAAACAAGTCCAGCTGGTTAACGACATCTAAGCCTAGTGCTCTAGCTCAAGAGACCTCTCTTGGTGCCCCTGAGCCTTTGTCTGGTGAACAGTTGGTTGGTTCTCCCCAGGCGGCAGAGGCTACGAATGACTATGAGACTCTTGTAAAGCGTGGAAAAGAACTAAAAGAGTGTGGAAAAATCCAGGAGGCCCTAAACTGCTTAGTTAAAGCACTTGACATAAAAAGTGCAGATCCTGAAGTTATGCTCTTGACTTTAAGTTTGTATAAGCAACTTAATAACAATTGAGAATGTAACCTGTTTATTGTATTTTAAAGTGAAACTGAATATGAGGGAATTTTTGTTTCCATAATTGGATTCTTTGGGAACATGAAGCATTCAGGCTTAAGGCAAGAAAGATCTCAAAAAGCAACTTCTGCCCTGCAACACCCCCCACTCCATAGTCTGGTATTCTGAGCACTAGCTTAATATTTCTTCACTTGAATATTCTTATATTTTAGGCATATTCTGTAAATTTAACTGTGTTGTTTCTTGGAAAGTTTTGTAAAATTATTCTGGTCATTCTTAATTTTACTCTGAAAGTGATCATCTTTGTATATAACAGTTCAGATAAGAAAATTAAAGTTACTTTTCTCAAGTGTTTTCCATCCACTTTGTTTCACTGAGATGATACTGGCAGAAGCCTGTCATTATCAGTCCAGATCTTAAGACATGCTTGTGAACATGCTGTTTCATGTTTTCAGCTTAATACAGGTGGAGCATCCCTAATCCAAAAATGAGGAAACTTTCTGAGTGCTGACATGATGCCACAAGTGAGGAAAGTTCCATACCTCATGTCATGTGACATGTCACAGTCAAAATGAAGGTGTATAACACACTGTTTACTCAGCATCCCCAAGGGAAAAGAGATTCTGAACTTCGGACATAGGACCCTAGCGCGCTAGCAATAAATCTCTCCGCTGTGACTTCCGTGTCGAGTGGTCTCTCGCGACGACCCCTGCCCAGGAAGGAATCTAAAAACTAGGTTCCTACATATAACACACTGTTTACTCAGCATCCCCAAGGGAAAAGAGATTCTGTAAGCCCCCTTCAGCTACTATATATCCTTTCCACACAGGCCCAGATTCTCCCATGCAAGCCTGCCTACAAAGGGCAATAAAATGGTTCAACATACACAAACTTTGTTTCAAGCACAAAATCATTAAAAGTAATTATAAAATTACCTTCAGACTTACGTATATAATGTGTATATGAAACATAAATGGATTTCGTGTTTAGACTTGGATCCCATCTCCAAAATATGTCATTATGTATATGGAAATACTCCAAAATCCAGAACACTTCTGATCCCCAGCATTTTGGATAGAGTACTAAACTGGAACAGCAGAAAGCTGAGCTAGGTACCTGGTGCTGGGATTCTTTATCACTGGTAGCTTGCCCTGGAGTCACTGCTGACCATTTAGCCATTCTTAATGCACCATTAACTGTGTTCTCCCTTTCGCCAAACCAGGTATCTTGTCTATTCTGACACATATTATCACAGTCTATCTTGGATTGTAGACTGAAAAGGAGTTTGGTACCCTTGTAGAAAGACAAAGTGCAGTATAGCATGCTGCACTCTATCACTAGAGAAGTGGACTATCCTTGATGAAGTACTATGTGTTGGGCACTCCACACAGGTTTCTCATTTCAGCCTTACCATAATCCTTTGAGGTGAAGGGAGAGTAGCATTTCCATTTTTCATTTGAGGAAACAGGCTCAGTGAGGTCATGACTTCCCCATGGTGACATGGTTGGGGTGAAACTGATTTTTAACCTTGTGTAAATGAATACACTATAATACACTGAGCTGTTTTTACTCACAACACTTCTGACACCAAATGTGGGGGTTTTCCACATCAAGCAATTCTCCAGTTCTCCAATTAAAAATTGAACTGGTGTCCTACAATTCAATTTCGACACTACCCAGGGTTAGCATGCTCAGTCCCACCAAACTGCCCTCGCTTCAGGTGTCAGTTGTAAGTATTCGGTCCCCATGTTATCCACACTTCTGTCTGACTTGGCTACAAATTAGGGGTTCCCGTGACCGCCCCATCCCACCCCCTGGTTTAATAATTTGCTAGAATAGCTTATAAAACTCAGGAAACGTTTACTTACTATTACCAGCTTATAAAGACTACAACTCAGGAACAGCCAAATGGAAGAGATGTGTATGGCAAGGTATAGGGGTGGTGCATTAAGCATCCATGCCCTCCAGGCACACTACCCTCCCAACATTTTGATATGTTAATCCAGGGATCTCCAAACTCCATTGTTAGGGTTTTTGAGGTTTCCTTAGGGAGGCATGATTGATAAAATAATTGGCCATGGGTGATTCACTCATCTTCAGCCCCTCTCCCCTCTCCAGAGGTTGCAGTTATGGCTGAATGTTCCCTCTGATCATGCCTTGATGTTTCTGGTGACCAGCCCCCATTCTGAAGCTACTAGCGGCCTCCAGCCACAAGCTATCTCATTAGCATAAAAAATACACCAGTTGAGATTTCAAGGCTTTCAGGAACTATATGCCAGGAACCAGGGACAAAGACCAAATATTTATTTTTATTATATCCCATACATATAAAAGTTACTTGTAAATTATATGTATATACACACTAATAATCTCATGTGTATTGCAAGAAATTACATAAGTTCAAAAGAGAAGCTGAATTTCAGGTTGTTGATGGAACAAAATATTGTTCTTATAAAAGCAATTTATTACTATTTTAGGGTAATGTGATTGAATATATATCATTATTTTTGAAATATTGGTGTAACTGTGATTTAGCAATTCACAGTCTGCATCTGAGTTCAGCTTACCATTTCCCTGTGCTTCCCACCGTGATGTGAAGGGAGTGGCTGTGCCCTACATCTTTTTCTGTCCCTTCTACCACACACAAAAATGTTTGTGAAAATTCAGCTAATAAACTTCTTTCTTCCCTGATGTAGAAAACAAAAAATCCACACAATTTACCTTCAAGGAAGCTTTAGCGGCCTATATCCATTTGATCTGAGCAGTGAAACGTCTTAAGTTCTAGGAATATTTCTCACTGAAAATAGCAACACTCTTTCTGTTGAAGTGTGTGTGTACTATGACAAATTCTGTTGTCTGGGGAAAAAAATACATGCTCATGGTAAACTATTCAAACAGTATCCATGGCAGGGATTTTTAACCTGGGGTTCATGGGTAGAAGAAGTCAGTTGTCTGAATTTGGATGGAAAAAAAGTTTTATCTTTTCTCTGTCTGGTAGCTGAAATACAGCATTTCCCTCCATCATGAATGTGAAGCAGGAAAATAGGGTCTGGAGGCAGGGAACATAAAGCCGATTCACACTAAAGCTATGACAGGAAATATCCTCTCCACAGGGCATAGGCCAAGTAAATGACTTTGTAACTTCACTTCATCCTTTCCATTTACATAGGGCGTACCCCAAGTAACCAATGGAATCCTCTAGGGGGTATTTAAACTCCCCAGAATTCTGTAACAGGGTCTTTTGAGCTCCTATGCTGTGGAGTGTAGTTTCGTTTTCAATAAATCCCTTTGTCCCTTCCTTGCTTTGTGCGTTTTGTTCTTTGTTCAAGATGCCAAGAACCTGGACATCCTCCACTGTTAACAAATGTAGCCATAAACTGCAGAAGTATTAGCAGTACACGTTATTGTCACCAGTAGAAATCACATAGATTTCGGGGTTATTGCAGATATCTCAAAATGCCACTGATATTCATTACTGCAAAGTCACAGTGCTTTTTAGACCTACTACCAGGTATTAATATATTAATAAAGAGGCACATACACATATTACAAACTTTTTTTTCTGAGACGAGGTCTTACTCTGTCACCCAGGTGGGAGTGCAGTGGCACAATCTTGATTCACTGCAACCTCCGCCTCCTGGGCTCAAGCGATCCTCCCACCTCAGCTCTACCTGCCCCTGCCAGGAGTAGCTGGGACTATAGGCGTGTGCCACCATCACGCCTAACTAATTTTTTGTATTTTTGGTAGAGACGGGGTTTCGCCATGTTCCTCAGGCTGGTCTCAAACAAGACCCCATGTCAGTAAATCATTTAAAAAAAAAAAAAAAATCGATAACATGTAGTTTCAGCTTTAAATTTTTTTTTTAGACATGGGGTCTCACTGTGTTGGCCAGGCTACAGTGCAGTGGATATTCAAAGGTGCAATCCCACTACTAATCAGCACAGGAGTTTTGACCTGCTCAGTTTCCAACCTGGGTCAGTTCACCCCTTTGTAGGCAACCTGCTGGTCTTTCACTCCCAGGAGGACACCATGTTTTTCTTTCTTTTGTTTTTTTTAAGAGGCAGGGCCTCTGTTGCCCAGGTTGAAGTCTGAAGTGCAGTGGGCATGGTCATAGCTCACTGCAGCCTCGAATTCTGAGGCTCAAGTGATCCTCCCACCTTGGCCTCCTAAAATGCTGGGATTATAGGCATTAGCCACTGTACCCAGATGAGGTCACCATATTGATGCTGAACTTAGTGCTGATACCCAATTGGCATAGGACACTACAGCCCAGAACTCCTGAGCTCAAGTGATCCTCCTGCCTCAGCCTCCGAAACAGCTAGGTCTACAGGTGCACACCACTGGGCCCAGCCATAGTTTCATCTTATATCTATTTGAACATCTCTGTATGCACTGGCATATCTGCTCCGTGGGGAAAATCTCATGGAGGCATAACCTACTGAGGTGCTCAGAAATTCTTCTCAAGTGGGAAAGTCAGGTATCTAGGTAAAGCTGCCATTATATAAATGGGTATAATATCAAATGCAGCTGAGGGAGAGAAAGCAGTGTGTTAATCACTGTTAAGAATCACATAGCTGTGTTGGCAAAGTTTTATTTTTGAAGCAGTATAGTATTTATATTAGTAATCTTTATCCTTTTTTATATGTCATAAATATGGCATTTTAAATTTTAAAAATTTAGATGCATAGAACATTGGCCCTGGAAAGGACAGTCCTAACGTAACGCATACACTGAAGGTGAGGGAATGATGTTTTTATGCTGACATCCCTCCCTTTAACCAGCACTCGGTTAGTCTAGTACGAAACAACCCATGGAAGAACTGAGTGCTTTTTTCCTCCAATAAACATTTATTTAAAAAGAAAGGAGTTAACACTGAAAGACTATAACGTGCCGCGTACTATGTTAAGACAGTGGAGCTAATAATACCTGTCCTGGAAGATCAGAGTTGACTAACATGTAAAACAAATGTTGTCTACGAACTTATTTTATAATTCTCACACACTAATCTATTTGATGCCCAATATTTTCAGTCGTGTGAATAGGGTGAGTTGATATCTGCTTCCCCTGAAGATGGTTTCTGAATTAATTTATGGGACAGACTGAGAGATACAGTTCTGGGAGGAAAGGAAATACAAGTTAAAGGGAGTCTGCTTGACTTCTCTTTGAGAACGACTGACTGAATACCTACTACAGTTGACATTCACTTAGCCCCACCCTCTCTTACACCTACGAACTCATACTGAGAGCCTTCACAGAATACAAGGAGCATCCAGTATCTTTTCTTTTTAAAAATTTTTATATTTCCTTGCCGCTCCAGCTCAAAGGAATACCTAATACCTTTTAAAGAAACAAAATATATAAAACTTATTCAGTCTTTCATATGATTTTATTTTCTTCCTTCAACCATAATAATATGATATCCAAATTTCGTCTTAACCGGTGGGTCTGTAAACACAGGCTTATCCATCCCACTTACAGGCAAGGCAAATGCTGCTTCTTGAAATGGTCCCACCATGGACCCTCTGGTCATCCAACCCAAGTCGCCCTGAAAAACCCAAAAGATTAAGTGATACCAAGTGGCCCTGAAGAGGGAACAGTTCTACTGTAGCTTGAGAGAATTTCCCAACATTTTGCTAAGGTTATGAGGTATATTCCTAAGAGCAATACAGGAATAGGCTCAATAAGGACAAATAGGTAGAAGAAGTCTAACTCTAGACTGAACACATAAGTACTCTCAACACTGCTGGACTTTGAAGTTAGCTGTGCAAGTATGGTCATGCCTAGGTTTTGACATAGGTGATCCTTATTCTACTATTCACAAGTTGGACATTTCTGCTTTGGAGATCTTTAAACCAAAATATGGCTACAACTAATGGTTGAACAAAAGAATGATCCCTACTTCTGTGTTTCTTCTGTGGAGGATGGATACTTTTATTTTATCTTATTTTATTTTATTATTTGTCATTTTTACTTTGCTTTCTTACCCTGAGAGAAAATTATAAATAATAAGAGCAACGTACCCCTTGCCTGGCTTTATCTTCACTATACTGTGAGGCCACTTCATTGAATCTCATCCCAGACTTTAACTTTTCCATGGCTTCCATGATTTTGCCATGTTTTTCACATAGAATGTGTCTGACCTGCAAGGAAAAAAATACATTCATGTAATACTTGGAGACCCAAATGACTCCTTAAAGTACAGCGGTTACAGTTGGATTACCCCCACCAGTTAAAACACACACACACACATTAGTTCATAGCAAGTAAAAATCCTGGAAATTTGCCCAGGACAACAACCACAATCCCATTCCCCATATTAAGATACAATGTCTCAGAGTCCTGATTTAGATCGAAAATAGGCATCTGGCTGTGGGAAGCTCCCATCTTTTTTTTTTTTTTTTTTTTTTTTTGAGATGGAGTCTTGCCCTGTCACCCAGGCTGGAGTGCAGTGGCATGATCTCGGCTCACTGCAACCTCCGCCTCCCGGGTTCAAGCAATTCTATCTCAGCCTCCCGAGTAGCTGGGTTTACAGGCACCTGCCATCACACCTGGCTAATTTTTCTATTTTTAGTAGAGGTGAGGTTTCGCCATGTTGGCCAGGCTGGTCTCGAACTCTGGACCTCGTGATCCACCTGCCTTGGCCTCCCAAAGTGCTGGGATTACAGGCGTGAGCCGCCGCACATGGCTGGGAAGCTCCCATCTTTTACAATATACCTCCATGCTAACAGGAGGAAGAAACATGATACAGGTTGAGAGCTGTGGTTCTGCAATCAAATCCCACCTCTGCTGTATGAACTAAGGCATTATTTATTTATTTATTTATTTAGAGACAGAGTCTCACTCTATCTCCCAGGCTGGAGTGCAGTGGTGTGCTCTCAGCTCACTGCAACCTCTGCCTCCCAGGTTCAAGCAATTCTCTTGCCTCAGCCTCCCGAGTAGCTGGGATTACAGGCATCCGTCACAACGCCCAGCTAATTTTTGTATTTTTAGTACAGATGGGGTTTCACCATGTTGGCCAGGCCGGTCTCGAACCCCTGATTTCAAGTGATCTGCCCGCCTCTCGGCCTCCCAAAGTGCTGGGATTACAGGTGTGAGCCACCATGCCCGGCTGAACTTACGCACGTTTTTAAACCTCCAGGTGTTTCTCCACTTGTACATCGAGATGCAATGATAACAGGACCTATGTGTTCTGACAGGATTGTGAAGATTGAGATAATGCAGCTACCATTGACCAATGGCTATTATTTCATCAGAGTGAGGATGATAAGAAAAAACCTGCTAGAGAGTATTTCTTTCTTTTTTTTTGAGACAGTCTCCCTCTGTTGCCCAGGCTGGAGTGCAGTGGCCCGATCTTGGCTCACTGCAACCTCCACCCATGGGTTCAAGCGATTCTCCTGCCTCAGCCTCCCAAGTAGCTGGGATTATAGGTGGACACCACCACGACCAGGTAATTTTTTGTATTTTTAGTAGAGATAGGTTTCACTGTGTTGGCCAGGCTGATCTCAAACTCCTGGCCTCAAGTGATCTGCCCACCTCGGCCTCCCAATGTGCTGGGATTCCAGGCGTGAGCACACCGTGCCTGGCCAGGAAGTATTTCTTACTAAAAGAGACCCAATGTATAAGCCTCCCCACAATTCCACACTTTGAAAAGGAATCATAGGTTGAATATTAAGAACACCCAACCCTACTAAAGTATTCAAATTTGACCTATGTTTACATAAAGCCATGGATTTATAAAAACACTACTATCCTTAAAAATGATTTTGTCGCCGGGCGCGGTGGCTCAAGCCTGTAATCCCAGCACTTTGGGAGGCCGAGACGGGCGGATCACAAGGTCAGGAGTTCGACACCATCCTGGCTAACACGGTGAAACCCCGTCTCTACTAAAAAAAAATACAAAAAGCTAGCTGGGCGAGGTGGCGGGTGCCTGTAGTCCCAGCTACTCGGGAGGCTGAGGCAGGAGAATGGCGTAAACCCGGGAGGCGGAGCTTGCAGTGAGCTGAGATCCGGCCACTGCACTCCAGCCTGGGCGACAGAGCGAGACTCCGTCTCAAAAAAAAAAAAAAAAAAAAAAAAGATTTTATCAAGATAGTTGTTTGGCAGGATTTCTCATTTCACATTGAAATAGAATCACTTATAGTCATGTGTCACTTAACTACAGGGAAACATTATGAGAAATGAGTTATTAGGCAATTTTGTTGTTGTGCAAACATAACACTGTACTTACACAAACCTAGATGGTATGGCCAGCTACGCACCTAGGCTATATGGCATAGCCTATTGCTCCTAGGCTACAA